TGCACCACCATGCATGGCTAATTTTTGTATTTTTAGTAGAGATGGGGTTTCACCATGTTGGCCAGGCTGGTCTCAAACTCCTGACCTCAGGTGATCCGCCTGCCTCAGCCTCCCAAAGTACTGGGATTACAGGTGTGAGTCACCTCCCCTGGCCTTGAAGTAGATTTTTAAAAGCTTGCACCTTGTCCATTTACATGTTTAAATACTACAATAATTCTTCAGTTACATCCCAAGTGTTAGCAAAAATTTTTCAGGTATTTACAAGAACAGGCCCTGTTCTAAGCACTCTTCATATTGACTTATTGAGTTCTCTTAATAACTCCCTAACCCTACCACAGACACAGACAGAGAAAAGAAAGGGAGTTAGGAAGTTGTCTAGAAACACAAGCCATAGTTTAATAAAAATAAGAGTGGTTTTATTGATTACACACAATTTTAGCTATATTAATATATATTATAAATTTTAAGAATTAGAAATAAGTGACTTTTATTTTTTAACGAAGAATAATCTAAGTTATGGCAGCATGTTCAATGAAAATTATTTAAGTCCGGCACAGTTTTTCTAGATCTGTTTCTCAGATAATAAGGAACATCATCCAAGCATAATGACCCTCATAACGTAAGTTCCATTAAGTAGAAATGAAGCATCGTATGTTTTCTTTTTTAGGAAAGACTCCCCTTTTGTTGTATAGACATATCCCTAATAATCTTACTCTACTGTACAAATAACTTTTCACTCACAAGAGTTGCCTCAAATAACTTTCACTTTGGAAAGTTGTCAAGGCATGAAACAGAGTAGCAAAATGCCACTCTGGACTTTGCATCTTGGAGTTTCAATTTTGCTTTAGGATTTAGACTCCAGTTTATAATTAAAACCTAATCATTTCCACATTATTATACTTATGTAGGAAAGCCTTGCCGTGTCCACTCTTAACACAAAGATAGAAAATGTCAAATAGTTTGAGCAAGTATTTGGCAGATCACAGACATGAAACAGTGCTGTCGGAAACAAAAACCCTTTAGTGTTTTTAGCGGTGAAGAGATTGATGGGTGTCATTCAAATTTCTCATCTCCTTCTTCCACATCTTTCAAATTGAGTACTTCCAAAGAACCTTTGCCTTTGGTTTCCTTTTTTATTAGCTCATCAATTTCTCGGAAGCAGCCCGGGTCAATCAGACATACCTGAAACATTTAACGTAGCAGTTTACCGCATGAGGATGAGCAATACACAGAAGAAACTCAGCTTTAACTTCCTTTAAGGCAAACACAAGGCTTTCCAGAGATCTCTAATAATAGCACAGTTCTATGGTGCAATAGGTAAGACAATGGGTAGGGCAGCACACTGGGTTCCAATTCTGCCTCTGCCCTTGAGTAGCCATGTAGGCCCCTGTGACAAGGCATTAATCCCTATGTTTAAACACTTATTCTGATTCTTCAGCTGTAAATGGAAGGGACAAACTAGAAAACTCTCATTCTTCTCATACTAAAATTTAGCATTACATTTTATAGCTCAATAAAGTCACCTCCACGTAGGAAGGAGAAAAAGCAATGTGAAGACTTATTTAGAGACCATGTGTACGTTTATTTATTTATTCATTTTTTTGAGATAGAGTTTTGCTCTTGTCCCCTAGGCTGGAGTGCAGTGGTGTGATCTCAGCTCACTGCAGCCTCTGCCTCCCGGGTTCAAGTGATTCTCCTGCCTCAGCCTCCCAAGAAGCTGGCATTACAGGTGCCTGCCACCATACCTGGCTAATTTTTTGTATTTTTCGTTTCGCCATGTTGGCCAGGCCGGTCTTGAACTCCTGGCCTCAGGTTATCTGCTCGCCTCGGCCTCCCAAAGTGCTGGGATTACAGGCATAAGCCACTGCACCTGGCCCATGCGTACAGTTTTGCAAAGAGTTTAGAACTTCGAGTAGTGTCAGATGGGTTAATTCACATCTACAGTGGATACTCACATACTCAATTTACTTTTAAAAAGAAGCTGCAGACCGGGCGTGGTGCCTCACGCCTGTAATCCCAGCACTTTGGGAGGCCAAGGTGGGCGGATCACCTGAGGTCGGCAGTTCGAGACCAGCCTGACCAACATGGAGAGACCCCATCTCTACTAAAAAATACAAAATTAGCTGGGCATGGTGGCGCATGCCTGTAATTCCAGCTACTCAGGAGGCTGAGGCAGGAGAATCACTTGAACCCTGGAGACAGAGGTTGCAGTGAGCTGAGATCACGCCATTGCTCTCTAGCCTGGGCAACAAGAGTGAAACTCTGTCTCAAAAAAAA